CAGGGTACTGTTCCGGCAATCGCCTTGTGTTGATCGAAGAAAGTAAGGAAAATTAACGTTAAGATCAGCCGGCTGCTAGGATTCTCCTCCAGCTAGCAACTCTATTCGGCTACTGAATCTAGCGACTGAATTTAGTTATATATAATTTGTCGAAAATCCTCACCACCGTCGGGACTAGAACCCTACGTCTTCCCGGTCAGGGGCACTGCAGTGCCATCAATTGATGCCCTGACCCATCTAAGATGGTAAAGCGATGCGAGATGCAATGAATCCTGTATCAATCGACCACTGTTGGATCCGTAAAAAAGCGGTATTTTAGTTCCTACAAGAAGGTGCAAGGGCATAACGGGCCACTGAAATTGTCTACCACAGTTTATGTAGGAGTTGAAAGGCGTCGAAATTGGAAAGACAGACCACCACTGGCACAGTGTGGAAGGGAAGCTTGTATTTGAGCATCCTTGTGCAAGACTACAAGAGTTTTTGTGCATGCTCCAAACTTCACGTTATATCAGAAAAGATAATACACCAAAATTATTGTGTTATTCACTAGATATACGCTATATACGATAAATGATGTTGGTTTATCTCAAACGAATGTGATCCCAAATGTGTCAAAATGATGCTGCTAACTATATTGTTCATTGACGCTACATAATGCTGCTAGACAGCTTTAGTCGAACAAACCAAATCAAGAGAATATAAATTATGGGAATTAGGTTTAAAAAGCACTTTGCGTCGCTATTCGGTGCTACTTCCATTGTAATAGCTTTCGTACGGAACGCGCAAAAATACTTTGAACACCTGAAACAATAAGGTTGACTAACGCAGGTATTGCTTTTCCATCGTTTATTGATGTTCACGCTGAATGCAATGCGTCAGAGCAAGAAGAATGAGTCAGACCAAGTATGATTCAGAGCAAGAAGAGTGATTCAGGGCGAGAAAGGAATTTCACAAAAAAAGGTAAGTTAAGGTAAGGGCGATGAGTCAGGGCTAGAAGGATGAGTAAGAGCAAAGATGGAAGTTGGGGAAAAAAGTGCTTCACGTCAAGGTCAATACCAAGATGGAAAGCCCACACTTGTTGGAGGGTTCACACCAAGAAGGAAGGTTGAGAGGCAGAAGAACATCCATATCAAGAAGGAAGAAGCACACCGAGCAGAAAGAAGCACACCGTGCAGGGAGATGCCCACCCTGCAGGAAGATGCCCACCGTGCAGGAAGATGCCCACCGTGCAGGAAGATGCCCACCGTGCAGGAAGATGCCCACCGTGCAGAAAGATGCCCACCGTGCAGGAAGATGCCCACCGTGCAGGAAGAAGCCCACCAAACAGGAAGAAGCCCACCAAACAGGAAGATGCCCACCAAACAGGAAGATGCCCACCAAACAGGAAGATGCCCACCAAACAGGAAGATGCACACCCAATGGGAAGATTCACACCCAATGGGAAGATTCACACCCAATGGGAAGATTCACACCCAATGGGAAGATTCACACCCAGTAGGTAGATTCACATAGAGAAAGAAGGAGCCAGAACCATTCGTCTCATACCCACCAGCAGGGCGGCGTCGCCCAGGCCGGCCACGTCCATCTTGAGCGAGACGAGCGCCGCCTTGAGGTGCGTGAACATGTAGACGGCGTCGCTGTCGCTCAGCTTGCCGAAGCCCTCGCGCGGCGGCCGCTTCGCCACCTTCAGTTCCTGCAGCCCCTTGCAGTTGAGCGCCAGCGTCATCAGGTCCTGCACCTTCAGGAAGCGGTTGCCGCCCACGTTCAGGCTCTTTAGCTGCGACAGGTGGATGATCTCCTGGTAGAACCTAGCGACCACAACCACCGATAGCACGCCACCCCACGAAACATTGGCAATATATCCAATATTATTAGGGATAAACGAGACTATAAAAGTGTAAACTAAAAACTAAACTCTTTTTGTCTCCCTGAGGGGTAGTCCCTTCTCCTCGCCTGGTGTTACATTCACTCTCTACAATCTCTAGGGTCTTGGGAGCGAGCATCCTTCTCTCCCTCACCATTTTCCCTCTCTATAGTTCTCCGTGCCGGAACACTACCTGTCGTTAACCCGCTCAGATAGTCACAGCCCTTCTCAGCTAGTACTTTGGTTATCGCGTAAGCGCCACTGAGATCCGTAGATCCTTAGCGGAATGGTTGTTAACGACAGGGTAGGGCACGGAATGCTTGATGGAGCGGTCCGGTGGAATGAATTTTGGCTGGGGAAACGGGAGTACCCCGCGAAAACCTGCCGCGAACCCGCTTTGTCCACCACAAATTATACTTTCTCGCTCTCTCTAGCTAGTTCATAGGTTATCACCTAGGCGCCGCCGTGATCCGTAGATCCCTAGCGGAATGGTGGTTAATTAACAGGATAGGGTAGGGTAGGGAATAATCAATTGTGCGATCTGGTGGAATGCACATTGTCAGGGGAAACGGGAGTACCCCGAGAAAACCTGCCGCGAACCCGCTTTGTCCACCATTACTTGGAACCGCCTGGGATCGAACCCGGATACCAGCGGTGGAAGGCGTGCTGTCTGACTACTGCGCCACGGGCTGCCCTCTATAAAATGTGTTAGAGTCCAAAACTGATGTTTGAATATTATCTTCTCCTATCAACTGCAAACTGCAGAAAAATGTGCCGATTTTCCTACATAGATCCGACACCGTGAGATTGTGTGACCTTGACAATGAAAAAATTGATGTTTTAATTCTCCACAAAAATTCTTCAAACAAAAGAATGCTGTTTTAATGCCTCGCTTTAACACTAACGCCTTAACAGCAAACAGGAGTTCGACCAAAAAAGGATATTTCTCAATCGGCGTGGATGATGTTGGGGAATTTAAAACGATGTTGGGTCGAATTTAAAACGAATATTTCTTTTTTTAGAAGTACATTATGGAAAGACTTTAGGTCATTTTAAAATTTTATGCAAGATGACTCCAACTTTTTCTTTCATTTTTCCTTCAATAGAGCAAAAACCGTTCATAAAAATTTCTCAGGTTCAATGTGCAGAAAAAAGTCGTAATTTTCGAAAATTCTAAAAGATAAATTTGTTTGTACTCTCTCTCCCTCTCTGGTGATGACAGAAGTCAGAGATCAAGAGAAATTATGTTGTATTACGCCATAGCTAGTATCCAGCCATCAGCTCCAGGATGAAAGATAAGTTTTGAAACCGATCACTGGCGCCCGTATCACGCAACGTCCCGTACGCAGATGACGAGAGTGTTGCATTGGCAGGGATTTCAGCTTGGATCTTCAAAATCAAATTTCACATAATTTAGTTTAAAACACTCTGCATTAGCAGCAAATTTTACAGTTAATTTTCAGTACATTCATTTATTTTCAAGCATTAGCGGTACTTTCTAAAAATGTTTAACGAAGTCAACGATAGTGACTTAATATTGACCACTGGGACTTCGTACGTATGATTATTAGGTAAACAATATTGTATGCTTTTTTAAACTATAAATTATTATCATTATTATTATTATTTACCAATTATTATTATACACCAAAACTGGAATATTGAATTTCTGCTGAAAGAATGGCTGACATTTTGCGGTAATAGTCAGAACGTCGGAATTGAAACTTATTATTATTACGATTGCTGATAAAAATTGCACAGACATAACCAGTTTCACGACGATTCGGCCGCTGGCCCATTCGGCCGTCACTCAAAAATATTACTCTCACTTGCCAGCACTCCCAATGTCCCAACACTCCAATATTCAATCTCTGCCAAAACGCACATCATCCATCACGCATTACATACAGATTCCCCAAAGATCTTGCGCCCACCCTAATTCATAAAATTATTTGGTCCCTTTTCCCCACAAACACTCTCCCTTCACTTGTAAACCGCAAATGCTTTTCTTAGTTAAGATACTCAAATATGAAATTTTAAAAATAGTGAAGGGTTATTCCGAGACTCGCATTTGCCTGAGGATGGCCTGAGGACGGCCAAGTAGAGTCATTGTATGTAACCCTGTACCCGTTAAAATACCCGAAAGACAAAAGTCGAACGGGAAGCAAACAAATAAACAAAATAAAAAATAATAAAAAAAACGTAATGGGCTGGGTCGTGCTCAAGTGACGGGAAAAGGTTATAACGGGAGGCCCCCACCGCAGAGTGGGAAATTCGATCATTAGCCCCCCGTAAGCGAGTCTCACGAGGTAGAAATGTTTCTCCCCCCTCCTCCTCCGCTTGAACGTCAAATCCGGTGCCAGACTACACATTGGCTTGCGGATTTTTCTCCTCCAGATATCACCCCCGGACAAGCTCTAAACTCCCGACCGGTCTCCCAGCATGTGTGGTAGTGCAGTGGACGTATGTGTGGGCGTGTGTATGTAAGGAGGAGAGGAGGGGGGGCAAAGTTCAGAAGCGCGCTGCCTGTGGCCCATTAGGGTACTGCGCCGTCATTTACGAGGGTCGGTCGCAGAAACCACGAAAACAACAACTAACAATCAGAGCAGGCGGCCTCTAAAATTCTTCAAACGGCGGCTGAATTCGATCTAGCTAGTGTTGAAATTCCGCGAACTGTCGGGACACAACACCTGGACATCTGGCAATGTTGTGCAGCGCCGACGGTTCTTATTACTGACCCATCTCAACCGGTGGAGTTTCGTAATAAAGGGGTAAACCATGCGGATTTCGACGGTACGAACAAACGCAAGAAGCTATACATAGAAAATACGATCAAAAGTGAGACACTGGAAATGGTAAATTGTTCTGCAGATAGACGCCGAGGCGACAGGGATACGACTGTATGTATGTATGTATGTATGTATGTATGTATATATATATATATATATATATATATATATATATATATATATATGCATGCAAGCATACATACCGCCGTTTCTCCGCTCTCAGTCTCCATGCCTCTCTATTTGACCATAGATCTTGAATTTCTCTTGCCGTCATAGCCTCTTGCACTCCCTGCTATGCAAGTCTCGGTCTTCCTCTCTTCTGTCTTTCTGTCGGCACCCATTGCAGGACTCGTTTTGGCCATCTTTCGTCTGTCATTCGCACAACATGACTGTACCAGACGATTTGTTTTTTTCTCTAATTTGTCAAGGATAGATTTCTTTACATCTTTTTTCTTTCTTATGTCGTCATTCCTGATTCTGTCACGTCTGCTATAACAGTGACTTCTACACCAGAAGTCCATTTCAGGCGCCAGCAGCTTCCCTCTTATTTTTTATCAACCGCCCAAACTTCTGAACCGTACGTTGTAACACTCTTAAATAGTGTGGAGTAAAGACGTCGTTTAGTAATGTTAATGACTGTTTTGTTCCATAAGACAGAGTTTATACGCGTCGTTCCCCTCAAGATTATTCGTTTCTCAATTTCTTCTTGGCTATTTCCCTTATTGTTAAGAAATACACCAAAATTTTATAAAAGTAAATATTTGTTTACTCCTTTCATTTTTTCTCCATTTTCCAGAAGATCTTCAACCCCAGTGTTACCAACTTCCTGGTATTCACATGTGTCCATGTTATAATGAGGACTAAGTTACGTACAACGTTTACGCAGGACTGAAAGGACTGAAAGGAAAGCAGAAACCGGGTCATGACGGAGAGGGTCGGGTACGGACAAAAACTATTCGATTCATAAATTCCTTGGAAGAGCGAATAATCGCGAATTCTTGGGAGCAGCGATTCAAAGAAAATTAGATTCCTGAAACCTTAGATTCAAGTTTTTTTCTTTTATGCCATTTGCTTTACATGTGTGTTGCAACACAATATTTTTAACGTTTTAATTTAGAGCTTATCAAGATTTTTTTACAAGATTAATTGTAAAAGAACTTCAACATATTTATTTCGACGTGTGAGTATACTTGTTTCATTATTTACGAATGAAATGCTATGTAAAAGACCTCCGATTGAAGATATTACACTAGAGGACCAGAGGAGAAGAATATTTAAGAATAAATGAGTGATCTTGACAAAACAATATATATTAAGTTTCAATACAAACATACAAGTTTTGAAAAGTTAAATATTTAAAAAAGCTTATTTCTTCAATTTTACGTGCAGTAATTTTCTTTCGTATTTATGAAGGCAAACATTCTTGGAAAAAAATAGGAGCGGGCAGACAAACGATGGGCGAACTGCTAAGTCTAGTTACTGCGCGAGCTACAGGAGCATTACAAGAGGCACAAAAACTGTTAGCATGACGTCGGCGACAACAGGATGGCCACTCTTTTGCTGGCCTAATTTTTCAATATATTTTAATATTTTATTACATAAATGTGTACACAATTTCACTCTCTTAAAAAAAGATATTAAACGAAAGCAAAACTTTACCAAGCACCTTTTACTAATTTGTCAACCACTGATTTCGCCGTGAAAAGTCCTCAAATAAAAATATTGGTTAGCAAATATAAAATCATCAAAATAATGTTATTTAAACATTACATTAAATAATCATGAGCCCGAATACTTAGTATTATAAGTGCCCTAAATGCTTAATTTTTAAATTTTCCTCTAGAAATTCCTTGTTTTTCTCTAACACATTTTAGATCTAAGAAATTGCCTAAATTTTCCCGTATTTCTAGAACGTGGAGATTCCTGGATACGTAAAAAGTCATCAAAAACTAGAAACGGATCGTTTTTAATAACTGGCTTCCCTTCACTGGTGAAAATCCGCGTCGTTGCACAAGCGTCAGGCAGGCACGCACTTGCCTAAAAGCACTGAACTGCGTGCCTTTGAGATCCAGCGCGACGATCTTGGGACAGCAGACGATCAGGTTGCGAAACACCGTCTCCGGGATCAGCTCCTCCTTGCCGAAAGTGCAGTTCCGAATCGTCACAAACTGCACTTCCGGATTGCATCTGCGCCAACGCACATTCTCTTGTTACAGCTTTAACGCCGTAGAAGCCGTACAGGAAAGTGTTTCAGGAGGAAGAGTAAATACTGCATTATGAAATACTTGCGAGCACGAAAAGTTATACAAACAAGTATCGGGATAAGAACTGGTGTGTGATTACAGTTAGTTTAATGAATATGGTTATAGAAACCTTACAAAATTGACATTTTGATATTTACGATGGGAATGGATGAAAAGAGAAATAAGCAGAGAAAACGAGAATACGGCGTTCAAAATTATGCACAGAACTTGTCAGAAAAAAAAAGCTGAACTATGTGCTTCGAAAAGCTGTAGATATTATTGTTAAATGCTACAGCACCTTAATTTCGTCGGTAGGTTTTTCGAGAACTTATTGCCAAATCATAGTTGTTACATAAATATGAGTAATAATGTCATCTGTGGAAAGTTGATTTCAAAACATTTTTGAAACAGCAATGGGTTCATACTGATTAAAAACATGATTTGTTGATAATATTTTCCGCTCGGAGAATTCCATACGATCAATATTCTCCAATATGACAGATGCATTTGAAGTTTCCAAAGACGGTACTTATATTTTCAGCAGTGTGTTGCGTGTCAGAGAGCAGGTAGGATCATATAACGGA